CATGTTGCATAATTTAAAATAGAAAAAAAAAAAACACAATCAGAATTTTCTTCTAAAATCACATAAAATTCAGGCATTAAAACAATTTGCTGCAACATCTCATCAGTTCTTTGTTAAAGCACGACATCGTCGTAGAACATCATCTGCAGCGTCGCACACTGAGAGTAACGGTGCTAAAAATGTACAACAGCTCACCGCCACGGCCGATAGGTGACTCAGCAGAAACGTGAATCACTGTCCCGTCATGAGTGATGTGACACTTTAAATGGGTCGCTCACCTGGGAAAGTACAGCCTCATGTTGACTGTCAGCTGACGTTTCCTGTTTCTGGAACTTTGGCGGTTGCGTTGAAATCCTCGTCCTGCTGTTCAAAGAGACACAAAGCAAATAGAGGAGACTGTAAAAACTATTTCCTTCACGTTGACCATAACTACTGACCGTTTAAACTTGATTCACTGACTTTACATTGTCATCTACAGCCATGAACAGGTGCTGCACAGTATTTGTTCACACCCCTCCAGCTATTCCATAAACAAAGCAGACTGGATGAATAAATCAAACGCACCCATCAGCACTGTGTGTTTCTGAAGTAGCTGACAGCTCTCAGTGGATCAGCCTGAAAACTGACAGTGAAGTCTTATCTCTTGTTCAGACCCCCACATCTAAACGAAAGACCTTAAGACAAACAACCACCTGTTCGAAATCCACCAGCATGCGACACTGTGGACCTACAGAAACAGTTTAGTGCCGTACATTAGCTTTAGTTTGCGCGAGCATCAGCTGATGAGACGCTGAGTGAGAGATGGTGACAGTTAACTGAAATCCCGACAGAGATCATGCTACGTGTCCACTAGACGCGTAAAATGTACCGCCTCCATTCATTGTGTATGTGGAACGCCATGTGGGCCATCCAGGCGGAGGAGCGGGCGGTGGCCCCAAGTTACCTGCAGCTCATTTGCATAACGTTAGAAAACTTGAACTCCAGGCGCGGGGAGCGGAGGTTCTCCGCCTCGCGGAACTTTGGTACAACATCTAAACTAGCCGCTCTAGAACCGAAACAAGGACAGATTCTCAAACTGCACAGCATACTTCTGGCCTCAAATGTATTGTCGTAATAAAAGAGAAAGTTTTTTACACACAGCCCATTTGTGTGCCAGTTTGTAAGTCAGCTAGCGAAAACAATAAATGAGGAAGCTGCTTGTAGTTTATAAACGTAGCTTGCCTACATGCTAACCCTAGCGGTGGCTAATGGCTAATCCCATATTAATTTGGCTTGCAAAGACGTTTTCCTTGGCTACTTGGCCAACTATTATTTAGCCATGGTAAATTTCGGTTTTCGGTTACAGCATAGGCTGTCGCCAGCAGCATCCTGAGCGAATGTAAATATGTGTAATAAAGCATAAAATGACTTACCGTTCACCACATCGCTTCAGTGAGCATCAACGGTCACCGTGTCTGCCCTCCTCTGGCCGTAAACATGGCCGCTCGCGCATGCGGGCGATGGAGTGGAGGGCGCGTTTATACGTCATCAGATTGTATTTTACATTAACAGAACTTAAAATTAGATTACTTCATGATTAACTTAAAATGTTATTCTCTGACAAGTCATTAAGGGTATGTTGAATCAACAGGCATCATTTCTGTGTCATCCGAGCTCAATAAAATAACAATAACAAGCAAAAAGTCAAACAGTATGTCAGAACTTGATTTTTTATTTCACAACAATATAGATATTTAAGTAATGNGCCACACTAAAACACATTTCTAAGTAACAGGAACTTAATGATTAAGTTGACCTATACAAGAGTTAAGTTGAGCCCTGTCCTATAAAAAGGCCATTTTCTGTGTTTCTCATGAGGCTAAGTTGCTCAGAAATCCAACCTTGTCTGTTTTGTGGGTGGGCTCTATTAATGATAATGGACGCTATCAATGATCTGAATTTTTTCCAAATGATATTCAGTCATTCCCGTGTGTTATATCTGCTCTTCTTTCATGACCTTGAGAAAAATTATTTAGCCAAGCTCAGCAGGAATCCCCCAGAAATTACAGGTAGCTACACAGCCTTGCTGTCTTTGTGAAGAAAGAAGCAGTTTAAATCAATAGATTACAAGACAGTCTGAGGAAGATGAGGATGGTGTTTGTGCGCGAGCATCAGCTGATGAGACGCTGAGTGAGAGATGGTGACAGTGAACTGAAATCCCGACAGAGATCATGCTACGTGTCCACTAGAAGCGTAAATTGTACCGCCTCCATTCATTGTGTATGTGGAACGCCATGTGGGCCATCCAGGCGGAGGAGCGGGCGGTGCCCCCGGGTTACCTGCAGCTCATTTGCATAACGTTAGAAAACTTGAACTCTAGGCGCGGGGAGCGGAGGTCCTCCGCCTCGCGGAACTTTCGTACAACATCTAAACTAGCCGCTCTAGAACCGAAACAAGGACAGATTCTGAAACTGCACAGCATACTTCTGGCCTCAAATGTTTTGTTGTAATAAAAGAGAAAGTTTTTTACACACAGCCCATTTGTGTGCCAGTTTGTAAGTCAGCTGGCGAAAACAATAAATGAGGAAGCTGCTTGTAGTTTATAAGCGTAGCTTGCCTACATGCTAACCCTAGCGGTGGCTAATGGCTAATCCCATATTCATTTGGCTTGCAAAGACGTTTTCCTTGGCTACTTGGCCAACTATTATTTACCCATGGTTAATTTCGGTTTTCGGTTACAGCATAGGCTGTCGCCAGCAGAATCCTGAGCGAATGTAAATATGTGTAATAAAGCATAAAATGACTTACCGTTCACCACATCGCTTCAGGGAGCACCAACGGTCACCGTGTCCGCCCTCCTCTGGCCTTAAACATGGCCGCTCGCGCATGCGGGCGATGGAGTGGGGGGCGCGTTTATACGTCATCAGATTGTATTTTACATTAACAGAACTTAAAATTAGATTATTTCATGATTAACTTAAAATGTTATTCTCTGACAAGTCATTAAGGGTATGTTGAATCAACAGGCATCATTTCTGTGTCATCCGAGCTCAATAAAATAACAATAACAAGCAAAAAATCAGACAGTATCTCAGAACTTGATTTTTTATTTCACAACAATATAGATATTTAAGTAATGACTAAAGATCCCCGGAATGGCTTTTTAGACTGCATGTTTAGATGTATT